ACACGGGACCACACCCGACTCTGTTAGCCGCTGGTCACTCGTACCGTAACCTTTCCAGCGCGTGGTGCATAACATATATACCTATATATATCGGAAAGCGGTCCGCTATAACCGGGTTTTGGCGGAAACCATTTCTTAGCAAACGGAGTAAAATATAATAAGCCCAAGTACATGGCTGTGGAGGCGCATAGGTTTGTGAGATGTCGAGGTTCCCACATTTTCTAGACAATCGGCGCACAGATGGAGGTGAGTTTGTCAGCCTTACACGCCGGTCGCCCTTTAACCCCCAAAAGATTCCTGGTACTCATTTCTGCTCGAGACCTAGTCGACGCCAGGGCCATAATGCGGCTGGAAGAATTAGGTCGATTGAAAAGTCCAATGACTTCATCGAGAATCGATCCCGCGGCCTTCCGGTTTGTAGCATAGTGCTTCAACCAACTATGCTACCGCGTACCCCTATAGCGCAGTCGGTATAACAATTGGCTACGAGCTGTACGACAGAGGGGTCGGAGTTCGAGTCCCAGTTGGGTCAAGACCAGTTCAGACCGGCTCTGGGGCCCACCAGGCGTCCTATCCAATTGGTACCCGGGGCTCTTTCCCCGGAGGCAAAGCGACTGGGGCGTGAAGCTAACCACTCACCTCCAGCTAATGCTGAGGTCAAGAAAACTTGGCTCTATACATCCACTCCTCCATACGTCTTCATGGCGTAGTGCTTAATTAGTTATGCACAGGGACAATTTTTACCTTTTTTTATATTGCTGTATAACGTAGCACTTTCTGATAATTTTATTATATTTGATATTTGATTTATATAACTCTACCGACCACGTATCCACACAAATACATCATTTCGTTAATAAACTGCCTACTCCCGGACGAAATTAACGATTTAACTCTTTAAAACCTGAAGAGAAAGATGTAAATCGGAATACGAGAATAGAAATTGAAAAGGGGAAGTCATGGGAGGAGCGAGGGGCGTTACTTTGGGGGCAGAATAAGTATCACTTTTTTGTCTCAGGCTTTACTCTCGTGCCCTTGTGATAAGAGCACTGAAGTGAAGACGTTAGAATTGTTAGGAGCAGAGGCTTGAGAAAAGGGACATGGAATTCTGATTTTCAAAATTCACAGTAAACTGTACAATTCTGGAATTCCGTGGGCTTTAATGCTGATGAGTTTAAATTGACAGGAGGGGGTGACTGCATGAGAATCTGCTGAAGATAAGGCCAAATAGATAAAAGAGCCAGAAAAGCATACATTATTTTTCTCTTAATGTTATCTTGAATTTAATGCTCTTATAAAATTTCAGAAAATGCAATAAGTCCAGATGGCAACAAGATTTCAAAAATAAAAGGTTAAGATTTACACTTTAAGTAAAACAGTTTACCAGTCCCTTTCAAAATTTGAAGGGACCACAGTACTTCCACAAAATTCTGAGAATTTGACAAGCTCAGCTTCTAAAGAAAGGACCTCTCCAGTGTTAGTTCAATAATGTTGAAGTTATACAAAATATTAGTTCAACCAGTGGAAAACTACGGTACTCAGACATGGAGAGGGGATGGCACAGACAATGAATATATGCAACAAAACTGAAGTTGAAAAGAGTTTGTAAAATGCAAGGCTGATCAGTAAACAGTAGTTCCTGGATGACTCGCTTCAAAAGATATAACATAAGCCCTTTTATGAAGGGAGGGGGGATATGACTTTTGGTATTCAGAATTAAAATATTTCCTGGTTTAAGAAAACAGAATAAGAAATTCCATGGTCACAGGGATGAGAAGGAAAGCCAGGAATTTTCCTCCACCCACCAAGTTTTTCGAAAGATCAGAATTGAAGTGAAAAGGTAGAGCTATCCCTGTAACAGACCATGGAAGCCTATGGGGTTGTGAGACGTTGAGGTTCCCACATTTTCTAGGCAGTCGGTTCACAGATGGCAGTGAGATTGGCAGCTTTACATGCTGGCTGCCTTTACCTCTAGGAAGATTCCTGTTACTCATTTCTGTCATAAGCTGAGTCAACCCCAGGGCCACAGTGCAGCTGGAAGGATTAGGTCAACTGAAAAATCCCATGACCTCATCGGGGATCAAACACGCAGCCTTCAGCTTGTTGTACAGTTCCTCAACCAACTACGCTACTACATGCCCCCAGCAGAATTGAAGTAAAGAAATGAATATACTACATATTAATAATAACAAATAAAAAAGTTTTTAAAAATCGTTCTCTCCTGAAGAGCCTACTCTAGCTCATTCAGTAAAAACAGTCTTCAGCAGTTTACGTCTAAGTGTGAAACCAAACTTTCTACATGTATCTGTCACCTTTGGAAAAATCCTCATGCAGCATCCAAATCCATGACGTTCACTTACTCAAACTGCATTACAGTTTTGATAAAGACATGGCAATTTCAATATTTATTCAATTAATTTGTATAGGTACACAATACATCAATTAAAATCTATGAAATTACATCACAAACATGAAGCACATCTAGGTTCGCTTTTTTGAAAATGTACACAGTACCATTTACACATTCACACACACATATGTACTATCTACATCACATAAGGTCAGTACACTTTTGTTGGAGGTATTATTCACTCTGTTCATCAGAATATATAAGCATCTGCTTTGTACTTGTGCAAACGTTCCAGTCATCACGCCTCACATACGAGTACATGCACACTCAAACACATATGCACGACATGCTCAAAGAAATTTGATCTCAAAACGTTTTCTTATAATGAATTCTATAAACGTGAGGAAGATTCTTCTAAATCTGAAACATCAAGTTTATGGCACATAAATGCACCTAAATCACTGCACATGGCACATTAGTGTATATAAATCACTGCATATGGCACATAAATGTACCCAAATTACTGCACATGACACACCAGTGTACCAAAGTTACTGCACATGGCACATCGATGTGCCAAAATTACTGCACATGGCACACCAATGCACCCAAATTACTGCATGTGGCACACCAATGTACCCAAATTACTGAAAATGGCACACCAATGTATCCATATTACTGCACATGGTACATCAACATACCAAAATTACTGTACATGGCACAACAATGTACACAAATTACTGTAAATGGCACATCAATGTACCCAAGTTACTGCATGTGGTACATCAATGTATCCAAATCAGGAACTCTCTTCCTCCCTATGTTGAAATGTCATAGGGGTATTTGCGACATCATTCTTTGTCTAAATAAGGATAAGAATGTGTCTGAAACTGAACTGTTTCCATCTTCAGATAAATCAACAGGGTATCTTTAGATAAAACTACTCCATAACACTAGGCATTAAATCTCATCTCTGAATATAAGTGATTTGGTATTATGGATTATGGAAAGGGTATTTAATCTCAAACAGCAAATAACCCTACTACTACTACTACTACTACTACTACTACTACTCCTCTATTTTCCATTCTGTTATTCATTTCCTCAGTTCAGTAGTGAACATGCTAGACCAGATGAACTCTGGCAAGATTTTTTCATTACGCAGTGGAAAATTGAAGAAGTGGAGTTTCAGAAATAAATCATCATGCCGTGTTTGTTTGGTGAACTGCTACACAGTGTCCACAAGGTCCCAGCTGTTATGTTGCTGTGCAGAACCACAAACTAATCTATCACTGGGCAAAAGTTTGTGAAATTTTCTTTTCAGATCTTCTCTAATTTATTCTTTAAATCTGAAGTGACAATAATAATATATGTTCTAGAACATTCATTATCAATTGTGGCTTGCAAAAGAAACTGAAGTTACAATTAATTTAATAAATTATACAGAAACTTGATGGATCTCTGTATAGTAAAAGAAATGAGATACTATTGCAAAATGTTAATTGGAATAGGTTGTACATGTGTAGGTGGTAAATGGTAAGTCTAACACAGAGATAAGGGATTATTCAATGTGAGTAATTTCATCGTAAAGGTTCATGATCTGTCATGATGTGGAAGTACAGTTCACCAAAATGTATATGTAACCCACACTGTCTCACTCTCTGTGAAACATATCAAAGGAAATATATGTTCCAAACTGACAAACCATTAATAATACAACATCAAAATAAAGTTATGTGTGAAAGCAATGCAGTAATGTTCTGTGGGATACAAAATCAAAATAAAACTTACAACTGAACTGACAAAAAATACTGGATATTTTCCACTATCACAGTCTTGGTCAAAGAAACAAACCATTTCAGAAGGTGGTTATGGGTACGACCATCAAGTATCAAACCTACTCTGTTGGGTCCACTAGATCTTGGAGCAGGGAGAGAGATTAGATGGATCCAACGGACTACAGAATAGGTCTCATACTTTTACCTGATTATGGAAGTAGCTGGTTTACAAAATCTGTTTTTTTTTTAATAAATATAAATGAAACTCAAAGGTTCAAAATATGTCAGTTTAATAGCACTTCAACGCAAACCCTCAGACTTGTCTTACAATGTATGCTGATCACTGATGCAATTCTCTCGTGGCATAAGCTCCTGGTTACTTTACCTAGTGTCTAAACAAGTGGTTCTTGATAACTAGTGTCATTTATGACCAAGCAGATCAGTGTAGTGGTGACACTCTTGGCTTATATTTAAGAGATGCTCAGTTCAAATTCTGGCCAGGACACAGCTACACTCACTTGTTTTCTTCAGTCCCTCCAGGCAAATTTGGTGGTACATTTCAATTAGACAGAGCAAGAATTGCACAGTCGATATATCAACTGGCTATGGACTGGATAACTGAAGGGATGGAATTTGAGTCCTGGTAGGTTCAAGAATTTTCTCCAGGACATCCAGACCAGCTCTGGGGCCCACCCAGCCTCCTATCCAATGGGTACCTGGAGCTCTTTCCCCGGGGGTAAAGCAGCCGAGAAGTGAAACAGACCACTCCCTCCACTAGTGCTGAGGTCAAGAAAATGTTGATCTATACATCCACTCCTCCATGACCCTGCATGGCGTAGTTCTCACTTAGTTAAGAACAGGGACAACTTTACCTTTTACACTTCAGTTAGGTGATGATCACTTCCTTTGACATGTTTTCCAGGTCACCAGTCACCTTATAATTTGATGGTATACAGTCTAGGAACTGATAGTGTGGTAAAACAAATCACAAATAATTATACACAATTTCTTTCACTTCATGCAATTCGACTTTGTGAATCTTTATATGTTCATTAAGTTTCTGCTAATTCTGTTCGCGTTTTCATGTACCTCACAATCTAATTCACTGCCTAGTGATAAGGACCAGCTTTATGTAACAGGGCACCATACAGAGTACTTTAACCTGCAAGATAAGGAACAGACCAGTCTGCAAAATGCTGTACATATGTTTATCCATAAAATGGAGAATGTCCAAGAAAATATTGCTGTGACAGTATTAACCATCACTTCCAAACCTCATTATGCAGTAATGTTCAATATTAATATGGTGTTATTATCAACAGTTGTAGCAATGAGGAATTGTCGAAATATTAGGTACAGACGCACAAAATAGAACTACAAAATATTTATGCAATATTTTCCTGTACTCCATATTTTAAAAAAGAAAACCTTTTGTTAGCTAATATAACTAGGAAGGAAGAAATGAAGCACAAAAATAGTTCTATCAATAGTCATAGCATTACTAAGTGGGAAAGTCCTCACACTGCCATAAGATGAAATAGGTTACACTTTTAGTCAGAGACAGATTTTGACCATTCTGAATCTATTTTCCCATCAATGATTAAAAGATATAAATTATCTGTAACTCTATCAATATCCTTATTTCAATGCAAATATGTTTCTATTGCTATGGTAATAAATGATACAAGTAGAAATAAATTTAATTTTAGGTTTACTTCATACACTTTCCATCAGCCAAAACAAAATTAGAACATGCTTACATGGTAAAATGTGCTGAAGTTCCATGGTGAGGAGTACTGTGGGTGTGGAGTGAAAGCACCACATATTCTCATCTCAGGACTGGATGGAAATGAGTTGCCAGATGCATCCTCTTACAGCTTTAGGCCAGAGAATGAACTGTGGATGTACACTGGGCTGAAGGATGCGTGGGCCTCAGAATTTGAGTGGAGGAGTGGACATAGTCAAGAAGATGGAGATGGAAGCAGCAAGTTCCTCTGAAACACTGGTGTTATAACCCAGAAGACCACAATAAAAGTCTACACCACTGTGAATACCATCAATCTTATAAGTAAAGTTATCCCTATAACAGGCCATGGAGGCCCATAGGGTTGTGAGATGTTAAGGCTCCCACATTTTCTCTAGACACTCGGCTCACAGATGGCAGTGAGGTCATCAGCCTTACCCACCGACCACCCTATACCCCCAGGAAGATTCCTGGTACTCATTTCTGTTCGAGGCTGAGTCGACCCCAGGGCCATAGTGTGGCTGGAAGGATTAGGTCAGTTGAAAAAATCCACCTCATTAGGATTCGATCCCGCAATCTTCCAGCTTGTAGCATAGTGCCTCAACCAACTACACTAATGTGTGCCCTCCATCAATCTTATAAACTTTGAATAACATATACGTCAAATAAACTGCAAAAATGCTGCCCATGTTTAAGTACCACATCATTAAGGAGCACATGAAAAACACGGCAAAGTGACGCATACTTTCTTCTGGGATATAACACTGTGAAGTCTGTTGAAAGTCAACCAATGTTTTGAAGGAACATGTCAGCTCCATGATACCACTGTGAAAGCAGGAGGCACCTGCTTGCCACATGCTTTCACGGTGGTATCGTGGAGGCGACAGTCCTCCAAAATGTTGGTTGGCTTTCAACAGACTGCATGGCGTTATATCCCAGAAGAAATCTTCATATCCACCACTGTGAGAACTTCAAATCCTACGTACAGTAAAGCGGTTTATGCTTCTATTCACCAAATATATATGTAGATTTGGGTAAAGTCATTTGTCCTTCTGATCATTTATAAGAACCTAGATTCATGGCTTAAAATCCGTTCTTGAAGTGATCTTTATCTAGAAAATTATGTATGCTACATCAATTTCCTTTAATTATCATACTAGATTTTCATATCACAAACATACATATGCACACAATAATTTACAAATACAATGTCTTTATAATAAATAATTGCATATAAATTTTTACCAAACACTTCAACAAAATAGTAATTCCTTTAATACAACTGAAGGTAAAATATTTTCCATAGAAAGCCAAGCATGACATGAAAGATGTGCAACTGACAGGTATTAAGAGTTTCGAAAATGTCCATATCACTTACATACATCACTAAAACTTAAGAACCAGTAATTACAAGCATCTTGGTCAACTTCAACATGAATTCAGCAGTTTAGCCTTTAAATGTACTAATTATGCATATTACCTTGCTTATGGTGTGACTACAAAACTTAGCATAGGCTGAACTATATCAGGATAACTTATTAAGGATTCTTAACTCCATCAGGTCCTCTGTTGGCCTCGATCTCACATTAAATAAGAAATAATATTAAAATCCCATGTCAGACTGAGAACATCAAATTTAGTATTCAAACTGTACCTGTCTGTGTGCTTACATTCACATAAATTGATAATTTTCAAACCTTTCAACACCAAAACTGGTTGAAAATGGCTAACATCCATCACAATAGATGAGTTAGTCCTTCGCAGAAAAACACAGGGGCAGCAGGACATCACACCAGAACAGTAAGTTCTGATGCACAAAACAGGAGTTGGTTGAGTGCATCTTAAATGTTGGCACAGGAGTAGAAGGCATTAAATTTCAAATAAATTGGATCTTATAGGGTGACATATATTCTAATAAACCTTAAATAGTTTTCATATGTGAACAGCAGTTCCAAAGCACACAAAAATTGTTATAGAAAATGGTGGGAAGTAAGTGAGATAAGGGAAATTTATAATGCGGTCTTCTCAGTCATGAATCTGTGTAATCTAGTTGGTTACCAGTCTTTCAAAGCAATCTGATGTCTCCATCATCAGCATTCAATATGAATGCTATGTTATTATGGAGGCAGAAGGTTCCTCTAAGTGTGAGTAATGACAATATATGATGTCATACCTTAGCAGACCACAATCTTAAATTTTCACTGCTATGAAGACCTCAGATTCCACAGATATGAGGAGCAGCAGACAGAACACTTATACTACTTGTACATCTCATGTGTTGTCTAATACCTAATGGAATGTATTTCATTGTTTCACATCAATAAATTAGATCAAGGCGAAAACAAACCCGTTCAGTGTAAAACATTTACAAAACATTATGCCTCATTTAGCGTTGTGTTTTATTGTATAAGCTCAAATATAAGGCAACTCCCTATTTTTCTAATAAGAAAACCAGAGAAATGGGCTTTTTTTCCTTTATAAGATTGAGTATTTCGTTCAGTTCTGGGGGTCATAAACAAAAAGAGAAAAAATCTATTCTATTAAGAAATAATAAATTTTAAATTTAAAACCTTCTAAAAATATCATTAGAATTAGCAGTTAGAACTCCTCATGATCATCTTCTTCATATTTACTCTTAATCACCTGAAATATGGTGACATGTCTCTTCTAAGAAGCAGTATTTGAAAAAAAAATGCACCTTATATTTGGGCTAACATGGTATATTTACACATGTGCACAAAATACTGCAAAAAACTGACAGATGTAGGTGTGTAAGAAATTCACATGAAGAAGTTGGCAGCAGTGTTATAACCTCACCACATTATATTAACCAACACTTACGCTATCAATAAAATAACCCTGGGGATGAACTCAAGTCTGATCTATTTACAGTTATCAAGAGATACAGCTAATTAGCAAAGTACAGAGGAAATCAAGAGTGTCCAGTCGAAGACAGTGATTTGTGAAATGTTGTAACAAGTTGTATAAATGTTCAATGAATTTGATCATCAAATACAAAACCCGTCTTATAAGACATGCAAACCGCTAATATGTGATAATATATAAACCGTTTATGTACGTTGGAAAGAATTAGCATGAAATGTGGATGGTGGCACCGCTTGATGGCACTATTACAAGGGCTCCTTAAGGAGATACACGCAAAGCAAATAACAATGGAGAACATATACCAGAGTACAACTCAGCAATGACATTTGCTGAGTTGTACTCTGGTATATGTTCTCCATTGTGGAGATTAAATTGCCATCTACACAATACAAACTATAGATACATGGCCAGATTTACCGTTTGGTCTCACCACCTTGAGGCAAGCAGTCAGGATACGGACAACTTCACACTTTTTATTCAGCTGAAGTAACAGAATGTAAAAACCAATAAAAACAGAGGTGTATGGCCAAAGTAATGCAATAACTGTACAAGATGCTGTGACAAGTTCACCCATTCACCGAGTCATATAAATGAACAAACAAAATAAAATGAAATATATGAATAAATAAATAAAATAAAATCATATTTAATTAATAACCTTTAAGATCTGCTGGAATGGTGTATGGTAAGATGGGTATATCTAGTATTAATCTTAAAGGCCTGATTCCTGTTGGGTTATACAGGGCCCCAAGACCATTCTCATTCTGTCTATATTCATAAAATTCTTTCACATACTTTGGCTTATACTGCAACCTGATGGTTGAGGCAAAAGGCTTGTGCAGAATAATGGTAATGACCTACCAGATTACACGGTATCACATCCCAGAGTACAGTTAGCTTCTAGTCACCAATTACACACCAAAATGTTTAGACCAATTTCAATACTTGAAATAAGGAAGAATATTAAGTCTACTTCAGTGAAAGAGTCTTAGAATGAACGATGTAATGAAATTAACAAATCAATACATTTATTTCCAAATATTTCTAAAGGATGTACAACACATACACTCAGTCAACTGTCAAATAGAGATCGTGAAATCTTTTACCCGTAGCAACGATACAGAATACAAGTTTTCCTACTGAATGCTGTCCCATGGTTGCTTCTAGCCCATTCACACTGACAGTTGGTTACAGGCCGAGTATTACATTACACAGAGTATTGTCAGCAACAGTAGTCCTATACGATGAATACGATAACCTCAGTAAATCTCTTTTAGCCTTTGAGATGTAAACACTAATAGGATCAACTTATGTTCAGTCCCATTATTATTATATTTCATATGTTGTGTGTGTGTATATATATATATATATATATATATATGTGTGTGTGTGTGTGTGTGTGTGTGTGTGTGTGTCGTTCATTGCAATGGCCCCCAAACTTTTAGTGACAAACCAGTTCATTACAAAACATTTCAAATTGTGAACCTGTATCTGCTGAAAAATGTATTGCAAATATTTTTTTGAGAATTCCCTTTAAACTTTCCATCCTTTTCACCCACCCAAGTATTGACCCCATCACCATTTTACCAAACTTTTAGAGTGTTTCAGAAATAATGTCCTTCCTGGCAGAAGTCAAATTAGTTAATTACAAATCTTAGCTATGCAACTGGAACATACTATAAAATAAGGTAACAAGTCTGTCTTGAACAGACAAAACAACATCACCAGAATGATTTTATACTTATCAATTTTCCTTAACCCTTTTGACAATCACCTATTTAAAAAAGAAACTTTCTTCTCTTAATATATTTCTGCCTTCCTTAAGGACTATTTCCTTGTCATGAAGACGATAGCGTGCCCCAAATGACCTGGAGAGCCATGCTGGCAAGAGCTTCAGCTTCTGGTAGAGCCAACCATGTCACATGGTTCAAAGGGTAGGGGCCAGACAAAGTATAGTCCCTGATCCTCCAGGGAAGGGGGCTAATGACACCACTGGAGGGCCAGAGAGGAGGCCAAGACCTACGCAGGGTTGTTGTGCCAGTAAAGAAGAATAATAATATTTCTGTAAGATGGAAGTGAAGATCTGTGCTTAATTAAGCACCATGACAAGATGGCATATGGTAGAATGGAGGAATAGCTCCAAACATTCTTTAGCTTGGCACTTCATGGAGGTGAATGATCAGCTTCACACCCCACACATTTTACCTCTGTATCCTTTGAATAGAGGGCTAAGTGGGCCCCAGAACCAGCCCTAACACTGCAGAGAAGAGAAAAATCTCTTGCCACTGCCAAAAATTGAACTCTGATCCCTTGGCTGGTCAGTCTTCAGCCTAGTCACTACACCAATCTAACAAGCCCCAGTTACACTACTATAGCAACATATAATTCAAGTGGTTGAGAAGTCACAAATAATTAGCTTGCAACTGCTCAGAGGCAATCATAGAGGTTTCCTTCACTAATTTGATCAAAGAGCAAACAAATTCTGAAAGGAATCAAAATAAATCTGCTAAGTTTCTGCCAAAGAAGAATTAAACCAAAGGTACAACATATATACATGTGTGTGTATAAATACACAGCAAATCTGAAAAATTAACCGAATTATATCTACAAGCTGAAAGACAAACAATAGT